AAAAGGTTGGACTAAATAATTCTGCAGTGTTGTTCTTTCATATGTTATTTTTAATATATGCAGTTATTCTTTTGTGATATGCTTACAAAAGAAAAGGCTTGATAATATTTTTATGAAAGCTAAAATTAAGGTTAAAAATAATATGTAAATAAGTAAATGTGGAAATAAAGTATTGATCATTTAATGAACTATAACATAATATATGTAATATATTATAATATATATAAGAAGTTATATATATTTAATATATTATAACATTTAGTGCTATAATTGTGTTTTATGCACTTACATTCTTATAATTAATAAATATATGGATAGATATTTTAAACTTATATTCGCTTCAGATTGCATTCATACTACATATTTTTTTTACACATTCCAACACTGGTAAATTTTTTTTTAATTTGAAAAACGGTACTTAACCGAATGCCGGCATCTTTTCATATTTAGTGGTAAAAGCCCATTGTTGAGTGTGAGATTGATTTGAGCTTCAAAAATAATTTTTAGTGTTTTTTCCTGTTAAACAGTTTATAAAATATACTCGAAACTGTAAGTTAACTTAATTGTTTTGAAATGCTGATAATATTTTTAGTAGATATATATTTTTATAGTAACTAGTAAAGTAAATATTATATATATATATATATTTTTATAGTAACAATTTTTTAGCGGAATCTTGTAATTTCTCTAAACTCTGAATAACAACAAACATCAAGATGACATACATTGTAACAGAAATAGCCATGGAAATGATGGGCTGTAAGTTCTATGACATGGACGGTGATTTTTGTGAAATTAATTTTCAAGGTGAGGATAATAAACGCAAAGACAAGTCAAATTTGATTCTGGAACTTGGGTTAAAGCGTGATGCACAAGGTAGGCTTGTGAATGATTCTGATAACGATGACGAACAGCCAACCAATTCAAATCATGGAAAAAAACAAACCCAGGCTGCCAGCAAATCTGTCAAGCCAACTACAAAATCCGAAACTGAAAATATTAAGAAACTACAAGCAAGCGTTGGGAAAATGAGCAAAGAAACATCGCCTTTACAGATTCCAACTGAAAAAGTTGCTCCTGGAGTGAAGCAACCAAAAGTCGCTTCACAAGGGGCAATTACTAAAGTTGCAACTGGTAATGTCAAAGTCATTAATGATTCTAACGGCGGTATAGATGTTCAAATAATTACAAAAAAGTTTCCAATACCTGCTTCGACGAGTTTGATTAAAAAAGATGCTGTTGGCAATATAAAAGTCGGTAATGCAAACGTACAGAAAACTGAAGTGAAGCCACCAACAGCCGCTTCACAAGGTGCAGTTAAAATTGATCCTGGTAGTCTTAAAGTCGCTAATAGTTCCAACGACAATGTGAATGTTCAGAACATTACAGAACAGTTACCAATAACAGCTTCAATAGATGCGTTTAATAAAGTTGCTACTGATAATGCAAAAGTCGCTAATGAGGGTAGCGAGGGTATAAATGAACAGAAAACTGGAAAAGACCTATCAATAGTCGCTTCAAATGCTACAATTAAGAAAGTTGTTCCTATCGATGCAGAATCTGTTAAGGATTCGAATGATACTATGAAGGAAGAGAAAACTGAAGTAATGCAAAAAACAGTTGCTTTGAAGGACGCAACTAAACAAATAGCTACTGAACCCAAAAAACAATACAAGTTAAAAGAGAATCCAATCTTAAACGAGCCAGAACATATTGATTTTGATGCTGAACTTAATAATATGTTACCAGAAGACTTACATGAAACAAAATATTCTGAATTGAATTTATGTACTGATAAACCTATGAACGATACCACTTCACCTGGTAAGAAGGGGCCATTTATTTCTGTTAGATCTGATTTGGTTGGTCCAAACGGGACACCAGTTTGTAAAAGATCGAACTCCTTGTTGGAGAAAACAAATGTTGAATTTAAGGGATTTCGGGATTTTCTTATAAAACACAAAACTGATTACATTAATATTAATGGCAATATACATCATCGTATGGGTTTGATGGGAACTTATACACCAGAAAGATTCATGCAACCACATTTAGAGTGTGTGGAAAAACATTTGCAAAAGGAAGTAGATTTGCTACAAAAATATCGGCGTGTGCTGAAAGATTCTTTGGCAAAGAACAATCCACTCGAGTACAACAGGATCTTTACCCGTTACAATATCCGCAAGCGTGCGGGAATTGAATAAAAACAGTTGAGGCTATTAAAATATATTGTCTTTGTTATTAATTTTTTTGATTTAATTTTTTCTATACATAATTTTTTTTATATTTAATTTTTTTTATATTGTATTTATATATTTATTATTTTCTTTTATTTATAACTTTTAAAAATTTAATATTTTTTTATTTATACTTTTTACGAGTATTTATTTTTTTTATTTACATATTTTTTATTTATATTTAGTTAAGTTATATTTTTTTTTTTATTACATTTAATTTTTATTTATATATGTTTGTATTTATTTTTATTTTAAATTTACTTTTATTTTATTGTTTTTTTTTAGTTAATTTTTTTCTTTGATTAAATTTATTCATTTAGATCTAAGTTTGTTGAGTCGCTATATGACTTAAAATTGTTCCTTAATATTTGAAGTGAAATATACATCTTTTAAAAAAATGTATACATATACATATATAAATATAAATATAATTATAATTATAAGAAAACAGATCAAGTGCTGATTAAATAATATATAAGTAAAAAAAACACAACACCTTATGTACAATGGTATACCAAAATAATTAGCTAATGGAATTATATTATTTTATAGCGTTTAAATTATTATTTTTAATTTTTGTTTGATAATAATAACTAAATAACTAAAATTAAATATATTAAGTAAAAACTTCAAAATTAAGTTTGAAAAAATATTTAAATATATATTAAATTATTTATAATGATATATAAAAAATATTTAAATATATATTAAATTATTTATATTTGATATATAATGATATATAAAAAATATATAAAAGCCTAAATACATTTCAATGAAAATTAAAGTATTAAAAATTTAAGTTGTGCTATATATAACTATATACATATTTTGCTACTTGAATACTTTTTTCCTCAATTATTTTCGTATTATTTTATAACTATTGAAAATATACATTTTTGAATTAAGCAATACGATACATAAAAAATTAAAATTTAACATGAAGAAAAGTAATCAGTCATAATAATGACTTTTTTTAACAAATTCTATTAATTAAATTATTAAATTTTTTATTTTAAATAAACACAATAGTTTAAAAAAAATGATTTAAAACTAAAGTTTTGGTGAATATAAATCACATTTTGTCAATATAAGAAATGACTTTAAATTTGGGAAAAATGACCACAAAAATTATATACTTTATATATTAAATTATATTATTTGAAAACAAAATTATAAAAAACTATATTACTTTTCATAATTTCTTTATATTTTCATATTTTTTTATATTATTTTTTACATTTTTTATATATTTCATGCTTTTTTATATATTATTATGGCGTGAATATTATCGTTATAATAATTATTATTGTGTATTATAGTCTTAATTATAATTATTGCAATTGTAATTTTTTTAAACATTTTTATTAACATAAATAATAGTTATTATTAGTATTGTTGATATAAACAATATTTTTTAATAATATTATATTATTAATAAAAATATTATAATAAAAATATCAATGTCAATAATAATTATTGTAACAATATTTCATTGAATAGATGCTATTTGCTTAAACAATTTCTTTTTTTGAACCATAAATAAAATATTTTAAGTTTATTATTACAATATGAATGTGTTTTAATTTTAAGATTTTGTCAAAACATTATTAAGATGTCAATATTGTTCATCTAGCAAGTAATTTTCTATGCAAATGTCTGGGTTTGCCTGGTATGCCTCTGAAATATGGACCTTAGAAGAAGAATCTTTTTTGTCAACAGCGCAGGTGGTTTTCAAAATGCATTGTAAATGCTTTCTCACAGTGTATTTTATGAAGCAGGAAAAAACGTCACTTAGATATCATAAGCGTCGAGTAGGACTGACCGCTTCTGTAACCATATCAATATTACCCTGTTTTTATTGCTCTTTTAACCCGTGGATAGCTATATAGCCGGAAACATGAATGGAATTACAAATCCTAATACATAGGTTAGGATATGGTTGGGGGATGATAGAATGAGAAAAAGAAACGTTATTTGGGATAAAGAGAATGTGTGACTGAGTAGTTAATTAAAACTATCATTGGTGGTGCGGAAAAATCCAAATGGGTCTCAAAGATTAATATGGCCAAAATATTTTACAAAATGGTCAAAGAATAATAAAGTTGAAATTAGTGTGTATATTAAGACAAAAGCACCGTAAGGAATAGAGCTACAGTTAGGGTAGACATTAAATATAAACGTATAGATGTCTTGTTTTATGTATTTGTTGTAATAGTTTCTGCCTTTAGAAATTTTAACGTACTCACTAGCTTACAAAGTAATAAACATAAGTGACTATTCGAGGTTATTGTTATTCGAGCTTATTATTTATACTTTATGCTTTCTACAGTTAAAGGACGCCGTTTTTACAGTGCTTTCTTTATACCATTCCAGTTCTACGCTATTGAAAAATCTAACAACTAATGCAAGTTTGTAAACAAGATAATCATATAACTAAGTGACAAGAAAGTATTGATTCATGAGATATTTGAATCTTTGAATTTGGGTTCAATATTAGTTAATATTAGCCTGGGGATTTAAGATCCCAAACCGTGTGTAATTGATTCTGTGTCTATCCGCAGCTGGACTTCTAAATAGTATGTCTTTTATGCTGATGTCTAAAATAGTTTCAACTTAATTTGTTATCGTTTGATTAGCCTCTTTTGCTTTGCTGGATATAGTTTGATCTTTTTGAAAGTGAGTAAATCAGTTTTCGAACTGAGCTGGTTTTTAATTTACTGTTAACTTCATAGAATGTCTCGGTATCTATAAATACAGTACGTACGGCCAAGTAATGATGTTGTTCTTAATGAAACCTTAACATTTGAAGAAGTACAAACAGTTGAAAAATTTAAACAATTTGGAGCAGTGAAAGAAATATAACTGGCACAACCATTTTGAAATTAATAAAATAGGGTTATTGGTTATTGGAAAAGATTTATATCCAAAGATTTTAGAAGAGAATATTGTCAAGTATGAACAATTGTTGTGCCTGGCTTTTATGATGTCTTCTACATCTGATTTCTACAGCTACACTATTTGCGATGGCAACTCTGGACAAAATGGAAATTTTATTAGGCAAAACACGTAATAAAATTTAGAATTAAAATTTAAAAAAAGGAATAATAATTCTTTGCAATTATTGGTGAGATATTTTTTTTGCAATATTGTGAAAACAAAATGATTTTTCATGCTTTTTAGCAGTAAAATAATAAATAAAAAAAATAATTCATTTGTTACGAACAATAACGACACGAAATACGAATAATTAACGAAATCATTTGTTGACAGTTAACTAGAAATTTCGTATGTTCTTCCACAAGTCGTTCACAATAGACGAATTTTTAGTCTTGGCAACCATGTGATTTGAGTTGCTTATTAATTAAGCGATTTTAAAAAGGTTGGACTAAATAATTCTGCAGTGTTGTTCTTTCATATGTTATTTTTAATATATGCAGTTGTTCTTTTGTGATATGCTTACAAAAGAAAAGGCCTGATAATATTTTTATGAAAGCTAAAATTAAGGTTAAAAATAATATGTAAATAAGTAAATGTGGAAATAAAGTATTGATCATATAATGAACTATAACACAATACATGTAATATGTTATAATATATATAAGGAGTTATATATATTTAATGTATTATAACATTTAGTTCTATAATTGTGTTATATGCACTTACATTCTTATAATTAATAAATATATGGATAGATATTTTAAACTTATATTCGCTTCAGACTGCATTCATACTACATATTTTTTTTACACATTCCAACACTGGTAAATTTTTTTTTCATTTGAAAAATGGTACTTAACCGAATGCCGGCATCATTTCATATTTAGTGGTAAAAGCCAATTGTTGAGTGTGAGATTGATTTGAGCTTCAAAAATAATTTTTAGTGTTTTTTCCTGTTAAACAGTTTTTAAAATATACTCGAAACTGTAAGTTAACTTAATTGTTTTGAAATGCTGATAATATTTTTATTAGATATATATTTTTATAGTAACAATTTTTTAGCGGAATCTTGTAATTTCTCTAAACTCTGAATAACAACAAACATCAAGATGACATACATTGTAACAGAAATAGCCATGGAAATGATGGGCCTTAAGTTCTATGACATGGACGGTGATTTTTGTGAATTTAATTTTCAAGGTGAGGATAATAAATGCAAAGACAAATCAAATTTGATTCTGGAACTTGGGTTAAAGCGTGATGCACAAGGTAGGCTTGTGAATGACTCTGATAACGATGACGAACAGCCAACCAATTCAAATCATGGAAAAAAACAAACCCAGGCTGCCAGCAAATCTGTCAAGCCCACTACAAAATCCGACGCTGAAAATATTAAGAAATTACAAGCAGGCGTTGGAAAAATGAGCAAAGAAACATCGCCTTTACAGATTCCAACTGAAAAAGTTGCTCCTGGAGTGAAGCAACCAAAAGTCGCTTCACAGGGCGCAATTACTAAAGTTACACCTGGCAATGTCAAAGTCATTAATGATTCTAACGGTGGTATAGATGTTCAAATAATTACAAAAAAGTTTCCAATACCTGCTTCGACAAGTTTGATTAAAAAAGATGCTGTTGGCAATGTAAAAGTCGGTAATACAAACGTACAGAAAACTGAAGTGAAGCCACCAACAGCCGCTTCACAAGGTGCAGTTAAAGTTGCTCCTGGTAGTCTTAAAGTCGCTAATAGTTCCAACGACAATGTGAATGTTCAAAAAATTACAGAACAGCTACCAATAACCGCTTCAATAGATGTGTTTAATAA